CGAAAAAAGAACACTATACTTATGGGACTAATGACCTTAGTAGTTGACGGGCTAGAAATCACTAGTAATCAATAAATCATCAGAGTCACGAGGCTGAGGACTTTGGATCTGCTCTTTCGCCTGACCACTCCAATTCTGCTACGCTCCTTTCACCCTCCTTTCTGGTAGAAAAAGGAGATGTCATATAGGGGCGTTTGAATTTGGCTCAGAGGCTTCTTTTAGGATTGAGGATACTTTATATGCATTGTAACAATATGAGACAGTTAGCTTTACTTCATCTCCGAAGGATGGGATACGAAAGATTTTTTCGTCCTCAAAAATCCATGATTCGATTTGATCCTGGGTGTAAGTCCTATATTACACTACAAATGATTTACGAAACAGGTTGTTAGGGTTTACAAAATAATATTTGACTTCTCTGTATATTTTGGGGAGTGAAATAAAATTTGAGTTGACTTTGGGAACAATTCTTCGGATGAATTCGCCGATTATTTTTTTCTGACAACTTATCAATATTTATTTCTAGACATTCTTTCAAAGAAAGAAAACTATTTCAAACAAATTTGCGATGTTGTATACAAATTATCTTAATGGTTATTGAAAGAGTTGTTGGTTTCAGGCACAACATTTCATAAAAAGAATTTGATGAAAAATCTTCTTTCTAAAATTGATTTCTATAAAATATCCTCTTCACATAGATGTAACATTTCATGAAAAGGCCTTTGATGGTTGCACATATGGTTGTGTTATCTCCAAGATGTAAAAACCCGAAGCAGCATCAACACTTGCCGTTGTGACGTCAATTGTAATCCGATCGATGACGAGTCATTGCTTGTCTTTGTTACTACAGACCCTCTTCATTGAGGATATTCATCTGATGATTAATTTGCTAATTTGAGGCAAGTTGGTCTTGTAAATTGTGTATCAACAGTGCTAGAAAGGCAACGCCTCTACCATTTCACCATTAACTATCTCAAGCGTTTACATTGCCAACCTCTTCTCTTATAGCATGAATCCATGCAGCCATCATCTTCAACACAACCTCCACCAACTATTCCAAAGTCATCCTCGATGATCTTTACACATCCTCCTAGGCATCGTCCAGCATCCTAGACATTTCAAATATCCATCCCCAACACCGTTCTACCAACACTTTCAATTGCGGATTCCGAAGTTATTTCTCTTACCGTGTAAATATTTTAAGTTAGTCCCATTCTCTCAACCTCAATCGGTGTGGCGTCATCGCCGTCGCCATCTCATACGCCAAACTACGTATCTATTCTTTTATAGCTACAGTCATTTGATAAGAAATTTCTTCCGCCATTTCCAGCACCATCTCCAAAGCCAACTGCAGGATTATATTATCTCTTACAAAGCCATTATACGCACCAGTCATAAGCTGAATAGCAAATTCACTCCGCCGTACGTCACCAACGCCACCACTATCAAATGCCACTGTCGCCGGAATTTAAACACTCTTTCCTACCGCCACGTTCCAGCTGTAATGTCAATAGCCACCGTAGTTGACAAAAAAGTTGCGTAGTCACTAACACATCGCCACTGCCGCCATGCCAAATGGCAATAAGGCCATGATAAGGCCAAATGGCAATAAGTTTTGATGGTCCCATCCAAAGCCATCATTGTTGCCGTCTTCATCAACCATTGCCGCTGCAATTATCTCCGCGGTCATATCTGGAGCGATAAATCAGTTGCAGCATTGCCACAGACTCTGTAACGTCGCTTACTAGAAGATTCTGAGACCAAACGGCAGCCAATTTCTGTCACTACTTACACCGTTATTGCAAATTGATTAGCTGTCAAGAAGATATTTATAGCGGCCGGCTGATCTAATTGTTAGTTTTCTGCTAGTTAGTTGGAATTGTATTTGCCTAACTAAACTACGCAAACTATTTTTAGCAGTACCTAAACAAAAGGGCAATGGACAGAGCACGATTTTTCTTTGCTGATACTTCGCATCTCCTATCCCCTTACGTACCCACTTTCATTTACATTGATTGATTAATGATTTCGGGCGTGTTAATAACAAAGGTCATTAGTCCCATAAGTGTAGTGGGTGTTTTACTAGGGATGTGGCGGTGATCTGTCCCCTCTGAAAGGCAGGAGAAATTAGATCCGGCGCTGACCTACCTCTGACCCCAACCACGAGTCTACGACAATGGAGTAGCCCCAGCATGGCGTGTGGGGTTGTGTAGTGCATGTGAGTGTATGTAAGTAAGGGGTGAGGATATGACAAGGAAAAGGAAGGAAAGATTTCGCACGGTCCGTTTTTAGGGTATTGCTCTGGCATTCGACTGGTTTTGAGGAAAAAACACGGAAAACTACCGATCAGAGCAATCGCCCGCTAGAAGTCTCCAGGGAGCAGTTTAATTGTTCATAGCCATCTAGCTGGTGTCGAAAATCCTGCCACCGTCGGGACTGGAACCTAGGACCTCCCAGTCATAGGTTCTGCAGTGTCATCAGTTGATACCGTGAACCACCTCTCCCTGTCTTTCACCTACATGCATCACACTTTCACACATGTAGGTAGGTCAGCCGGGAGCTTAGAGCGTGTTTCGTCTGATGCGATGCCTTGGAGAGAGAAGTAGTCTCACTACTGAAAGGAGAAAACCCGCCAAACTCACTTATAGGTCATCACTGGATCTCACGTTCCACGAGAGGAGAATTACCGTCTTCTCCCGGAATATAACACGCGCGATCTTAAGGTGACTAACAACCATAGTTGTCGCGCTCGTACCCTCTAAATAATCAATCGTCCATCATCGGCACCGCCGCCACCCTCCCCCGGGCCTGCGCCGAAGCGGCCTCCGCGCCGCCGTTCGCTGCTGTTTTCGCTCCAATATTCCGTTACGAGGCGGCGGTCTATCTCCCGCCGCAACTCGGCATAAGCGTTTTGTCGCCCTCGTAAAGAGCGCGCGCGCCTTTTGTCTCGGGGCGATAAAGCGGGCGCCATGGGGCGGCGTTGGGCGGAGGCGCCACACCCAATGGGGTGGGCGGCGGGGCGGGGTAGTGGCAAGAGAGGGGGCGGGAAGTTGGAGTAAAAATAGGATAAATATAGTAGGTGTTTAGCGTCTTTTCACAGTACTGTCCAAGAACTCCAAGAACTAGTATCTTCGTGATAGGCCTAGTAAGGATATATATAGGAAGGCTTGTTGAGTGAATTGCAGTGAATGACTTGATTTAAAAATACCATGTATGGTCATGTATGCTTTCAATGAAAAATAAAAGTTTAGAGAGCTAGATTTAAAGAATGTTTCGTGGTTGATGGAGAGGGTAAAATATAGTAGAACAACTTGAAAGTCGTACTGCAAGAGAAATAGGTAGGCAGATTGAAGTGAAGGGGGGTGAATTACTAAGAGAGAAGAGGGAGATAAGAATTAAGACAAATGTGAGTAGATTTTTATATGTTAAATTAATGAAAAAAAAGATTGTTAATTGTTCAGAAGACCACAATATCGTCCAGTTTTGCGTTCGGAAATGGAATACAATGCAGGACAGTCGCACTTGAAACTGTGTCAGAAAAGTGTAGACATCAGAGAGGGGGAGCTGTGAACGTTATCCGTACTAACGGTGGCGGGACCGGAGGTGGCCTGCCAAAAAGCGGTGGGGAAGGAAAGCGACAAGGCAGAATTAGGGGAGGGGACGGAATTGGAGCAGGGGGCGTGGTAGGAAAATAGTGGGTGAAGATATCGTGTAAGCTGGTGGGTTGCGGGTCAGGGAATGCGTTGACACGAGTTCGGAGGAGAGTTATTAGCTCAGGAATGGCGAACCATTTGAGAGCGTGGCGGCGAAATGGAGACAGAAGAGTTTGCCGAATCGTGAGGTAGAAAGAGAAAGTCGATGGTTGAGGGCGTGATGCTGTGACGGCATTCGCCGGGGGCAGAGGCTGGGAGGCGGGGACGGCATTGCGCTCGATATGCGCACCGGAAGTGGCATTCAAGACGGCGCAACCCCCCCCCACCCAATTTGCTATCGTCCGTCATTCATGCCGGATGATTCCATTAATGCGTTTTGTGCACTGAGGAATAACACGTCGAGTCTTTATAGCTTTCACAGTCACAATTTGGGGTTTAACTCTGTTCACGAAATCACGTAACCGATTGCGATTTATTGAACGTATTTTGGGAACATATCTCCCTCGTACTCCTGTTTCCGATCGTACGCTTCTGTCGTATACCTAGTAATGTGTCATGCATTCAGCTGAAGTAATCGCTGAACTATCTGATAGTGGGTGTGCAAGGGACTGAATGATACGCCCAATTTGAGGCAATGCAGCACTAAATGAGATGCCATTTGAACTTAAACTCTAATAACACGTCAGGGAAATGACTTGAAAGCGGTATCTAACTGAACAGAGGAGTAGATTCACGCAGTATAATTGGCGAAAGGAAAGACTGGCCGAAGGAAAACTTAATTGAACAGCAGAAAACAATTGAGGATGTGAAATGAAGGGATGGGTGGCAGAGGAACTGGTGTCTCTCACCTTCAAAACCATGCAAATGAGTCTGTTTATCATAGAGAGTTTATCAGAACATCATTCAATGAAACTCCTTCACTGTATTACTTCGGTCACCTTTCATTCCATGAATGTTTGTTAACATTTATTTCTGGTGCTGATTACAGTAATTACTGCTATTAAATAAAAAATATAAAAATTTTCACTAATATATTTTTAAATATATTCACACATTTTAGAATAGCATGATCATATTCTAAGGTACAACATTAAATCCTTTTTTTATAAGAATAAATATTATCCTATGAAGACAAATCATCTAAAATGTTTCCAAGGTGCTCCTCTCAAAAAATGTACAAAAAATTAAATAATCTCAGCTATTCTTACTTCAAAAAATTCCCTCAAAATATCCTCCGGGCAGCTTGCTCTGGGTCCTCCCAACGAGGAAAGAAGGTTCTGAGCGATATTGAGGCGTGGTGGCTCCCTTCGTAAATCCATCCACCGACTTTAATGATCGCCGCCTGCAATGTGTTGGGGTTGGGCGCATAAGGGCCGCAGGGGTAGGGGAAGTGATGGGCAAAGAACAAAAGGCTTCAGAGTTCAAGCCGATACGGCAAGAGGGTGCGTCAAGGGCAGGTCAATGTGGATAAAGACGCGAAAGGACGGGCTTAGATGAGAAGAGGCGTGAAAGAGAAAAAAAGAGAAAGAATCGACGGACAACTTTATTCCTCCGATAGGGATTATGTAGGAACACAAGAGGGACGAATCAAGACTCACATGATTACATACAAGTAGGCAATATCGTAATATTCTCAATTTTTAATTTATTATTTTGTTGGTTGATTCTTGCACAACATATCTTTTCATAGATTTGGAAGATTTATTTATACAGAATATTTAAGTGGAAAGAAGTTAATTAATTTTGAATTTGGAATTGTAATTGGCGTTTCTGCGATATCTGAAACTAGCAAGGGAGATTTGTAGTAAATTGAAGAAAATGTAGCCATGTATGTGTTAAGGCGTTGCATGTATTTGTAAGTGCAATTATTTGTTAAGTTTATATTATTCTCAATATTCACTAATCTCATCATTCTCCTTCCCGGAAAAGGCAGAATGTCAGGGTAAGCAATTAAAATAAATTCGGAGGTAAAGTGAGGCATTAAGAAAAGAGAGCAATTGTGAAATGTGTGAAATATGGGGTGCCATTCATACGTTTTGCCATTCCCGGAAAGCAAATTCGAAATGTTCTCAATAAAACATTTCTGTGCGTTAAAATTTTAAAAGAGGAAAGGGCATGGAAAAAGATGCAAATGTAGGTCAAATTCGTCGATAAATTGTGAAGCGTGCCAAGTGGTGTTAAAATATAGCACAAATTTAAAACTGACTAATAGATGGGACATTATAATTCAAGAAAACGAAGTAAATTACTCTTACAAAAATGACAAATTAACTTGTAAATTAAATGATATTTGATGGTTATATTTTACACATTAACAATGAAAAACTTGAATTATAATTTTAAGAACTTATTTTTCGAATATTGTGTCCTGAAAATTCTGATTTTTATATTTGTCAAAATATAAAACCTTTCTAATTTCATTATATGTTCAATACGTAACGTTCATTGGCTTCAAATTAATACACCGCTTTTATGTTATACAAAAATTACTAATTATTCTAACTTTTGTGTCCTTATATTTGTTCTCGTGTGCAATTTATTTCGACGTCTAAATGGATGATGACCGTTCATTCTCTTTTTTCATTTTATGTTTTGTAAGCTTTCTAAAGTTTAATGTAGGTTAGTACTACAGGAATAACACGAGGGACTGTCAAATGTAGAACACACGTCATAACAAATGCACGATCACATTTTCTGAGCATAGTTGTGAAACAATTAAGCACAATTATTATCAGGTTGCATTGAATTAGCATCCAATGAACGTACACAAAGAAACGAACAAAGACAAACAAACATATTTTCTTCAATAAAACCCGCCTCCTAGCCAGGGAAGACCGCTGGGGAATTGGAGGGTAAAAGAAGCTGAGCAAATTTTCAAACCTACTCTGAAACTCCCTGAAAAAAGTCCCGGTTGCGTCAGAGCACGGTCTCCGTTGCACCTTGACGTCCGATCACGGGCGAAACGCCTTCTCACACCCCGATTTCAGATTCGCCGATGCTTTCACAGCATATACCGATTGCCCGACCAACCGACTGATGGGTGGAGGAGAGCCTCGCTCTATGTAAACTCTTACGCAGTCCATCTTCACACACTTGCCCTGAGAAAGGTTGCAGAAAAGAGGCCGAAACTTTGGCACTTGTGGCGACGCGATGTCTCCCAGACAGACAAGTAGTTACTCACTCCGGTCGCGGAAGTCTACGCTCTCACAAACAAGACAAAGAGAGGCGAATTATATGCAAAGCTCGACAAAAAATAAGACCTCCAGTGAGAAAAAAGGCATTAAATGAAGCACTTGCAAATGATCCTAGACAACGACGTCAAAAAACTCTTTCTCTGACAGATTCTTTCTGATAGTTTCCTGACCGGTACAATTGCCAATCACACCAGTTGATATCAGAACTAGAGACTAAGTATCCAATAAGATCTGCTTTGCATGATTCAATACCGTGGGCGCTAACAACATTAGAAAGATCATCCCTCGATTGATGTCAGAAGATGATTTCAATATCAGGAAACGAGACTTAATAATAATAATAATAATAATAATAATAATAATAGTATCGATAAGCCTATCAGATGGCAGAGACCGCTAAGGCAGTAGTTCCGTAGCGGTCGCGGACCAGAAGATCGCGGGTTAGAGTTCCGCCTCGGGTATGGGTATGATTGTGAACGTATGTGTGTGTTGCTCTTTCACCCTCACTATTATCATCATTTCACCTTCCATACCCCCAGATCTAACAAACCTAGGGGATAAAAATCGGATCTAGCTAAATTCTGGTCCCATGACAAAAAATTACATTCACCTGCCACCGAGATGATACTAAGTAGGGTGCATACACGCGTGGTCGACGTCAGCCTATTCGCAAGCAAAATACATTAATAATATTGATGACGAAAAAAATTGTAGTGATAATATTCGACAGCAATCAAATGATTTTTTTTTTCGTGAGATACGTGCCTACCTCTTCCACTCGGCGTTTTTGTGTGTGACATCCTCCCACATGTGGCCGTGGCTGTGGCCGTGGCTGTGGCCGTGGCTGTGGCCGTGGCTGTGGCCGTGGCTGTGGCCGTGGCTGTAGCCGTGGCTGTGGCTGTGGCTAGCGGCGAAGTCCGATGACGCGGCAGGCTGTGGGATCTGCGTCGTTCGCCTATACACGACCACAACGCTGGAAACTTCCATTAGGGTTACGCGAAGCTGCTGGGCCACTTCTTCCTTTTTAAGAGCCTCTTCCGCGGATGCCTGCCCTATCAAAGGGCTCGCGGGCCGCCCCCGCCCTCCGCCCTCGCGCCCTTTACGCCGCCACGTCTCACGCGCTCCCTTACGCCCCTCGTAAATTCCTTCATGGGGCGGAAGGGCGCCTCTTGATGTTCGTAAAAATGGACTGGAGAGTTCATAATGTTGCAAGTTATTTTGATATGTTTTTAATGTTTTTAGGCTGTTCATCCGTGTTATTATATACTCTTGTGTGCGATAGACACTTAACGTGTACTACTTTAAAATGTATTTCGCTTGTCTTTAAATTTGATTTTGTAATTTTAGAGGTAGACATGTGTTTCTGAGATCAAATGAAATTGTAGTACTCAGCATAAGCATCATCATAAGCATCATCGCCATCATTAACAACCTACAGCATTGTTTTCTCTAAGGTCAAAATCAGGTCAACTTCAATTTATATCATTTTAAAATTAAGCCCCAAAATTTGGCACAGATGTATATTTAATTACCATCATAAGCCGTAAAAACCTGTTTCAGATGCAAATATACAATTTTGCAGATTATGCTATCAAATATTGGATAATATGGTCAAAACAATTGCTTCCGCAAGCTCACTGCATGCAAAGCACAGCAACCGTAGGACTCAAAAAATGTTCCACATGCCTTAATCTACAAAATTATTTAACTTTCGACATTCAATTTCATGTTATTGGGGGTTGTGCTTTCATAGACAAGAGTTTAGAGAAAGTACAAGAGTAATCAGATTATCATTGATGATCGTGTCCAGAATCTTGCAGAAAGTTTAATTTTATGACAAACGATCTGCAGGACTCCTAAGTTGCCTGGGTAATAATTTCACGCAATCATCTATTAACAGGAAAAGGGATTATTTAAAGGATATATTAAATGTATTCTCGCTTCAGCTAATCCTAGTCCACTGTTTCCTGCTCTGCCTTCCCCTTTCTGTCTCACCCTGCTCGGCCCCACCCGCCCATCTCCATTCTGACGACCAAGGAGGTGGCTCTAGGACCGGAACTCTACTTCCCACGGTGGCCGGATTTTTGACACCAGCTAGATAGCTAAGTCAAATTCAGTAGTTTTCCGTGGTTTCTCCGATCAATACCAGACGAGTTTCAGGGCAGTACCCTGTCGTATTTCCGTTACACACACACCTACATTCACTCACTACCGCACATGACGGGAGCTTACAGCTTGTACGTATCTTAGAGCTTAGAGCTGGGGTGGTGCCCTGCTGTGGGAGATACAAAGTTGGGAAAAACCCCGCTAACCGACTGGCAGATCGACGCCGGATTTCACCATCCACTGAGGGAAGATCGTCGAGACCTTCTGAGGAAAGAAACTCGCAGTAAACGTCCTGGACCAATGATCTCAGCAGTTGACGCTCTCTGAATCCCAAATCAATTAATCAATCAAATCCAGGCGCTTCCAGCGCCACCCGGCCCCACCACTCCTCGCCCTGCCTCTCATGGCCCCGCCTTAACTATTTCCTCTCCATCCGGTTCTACCGCATTCGTAACAAGCATTGCAACAATCAATGCTACGAAGATGATTGAGACACTACAGGCACAGTTCGTTGCGTATAGCCGCAAAACCTTTAGTATCCAAAATTATCTCTAGAAAGATAGTGTGTTGCACTCATTTCATTAACTCGCGCTTCGGGAGAGATGATGACCGAAGTAAAAAAATTCGCACACTAATTTGGTGAACTCTGTTTCTCTGCAACTACACAAACTGTATGTGCAACACTTCTACAATTTCAATAGCATAATTAAATCATTAAGCTTTATAGCGATCCACTAGACACCGCAAGTTCTGTCCCGAAAAGTGGGAGGATTTTTGACTCTGGCTAGAACTCTGCGTTGATTCCTACAGGAGAGGATGGTGGAGAATGATATTGAACGGCTGCACTGGTCGGTAGTTTTCCATTATTGTACTATCTATACCAGGCGAATGAGGTCAAGTACCGTAAGAAACGGGCCACGGAGAGCGCGCAATCTTTCCTTCCTCTTCCTATCCGGAAAACAAAGTCATCTATCAAACAAGCAAGCAAGTAAGCAAACAAGCAATCAAGCCAGCCAACAATCAAGCCAGTAAGCCACCAATCAAACAAGCAAGCCAACAAGCAATCAAGCCAGCCAACAAGCAATCAAGCCGGCCAACTAGCAAGCAAGCCAGCCAACTAGCAAGCAAGTCACCCAACATGTAAGCAAGCCAGCCAACATGCAAGCAAGCTAGCCAACAAAGAAGCTAGCAAACAAACCAACACGCAAGCAAGCCAGCAAGCAAGCAAGGAAAATAATAAGCAAACAATCAAGCAAACAAACTTTAATCATTTTCAACAACAAAATACGCCTCGTTGTTCTAAAAACATGGCGCCTCGTGTGTAGCAGCGGTGCAAAATCCGCGTGCGCGCGCTCTCGGATTGCGTCCGGCAGAAGCGCGGGGGACTCGCGTGTTGTGTTCCCTCGCTGCGCCACCGCAGCGCCGCTTCATTTACAAACATGAGAACTATTATTCCCCTATGTTTCATATTGCAATTCCAGTCCTCTAATATTTCATTCGTAATTACTGAATTGAGAGGATGTCCGGGCATAATGTATGCTAACCCCCGGAATGCGCCGGAACAAAAGGCTATCGTGTCATTTGAACTCGCTACCGCGTCGCGAGCCTCGCTCGAGCGCGCGCTGCCCGGTGGCGCTACCGGCGGTAGACCCCACAACTTCACCCTCTTATCTGTGACGACGGGGTAGTGTAGGTCAGGGAGGCCCTTCCATGCGTTTTGTGTAGATGATGATACAAGCAATTCCAAGCGATTGTGTTGCTTTTTTTCCAGAACATTAAGACAGGAAAAGCAACTTTCGAACATTCGAATAAAAATTTGCACAATGGCGTCATAAATAAAACTGTGAGTCGTAGTATTAACACCGTAATTTAATTTGTATTATTATCTGAAGTAATACTTATTTTCCAATCGAGCTAGAAAATAAT